TTACACCACTGGTTCCATCCAGGCTTTTGCCCACCACGGTGGGTATACCCCTGAGGGGGGCTTCAGGGTTTGAGTGCCGTAGGAAAGAACCTTTGCCCTGCACTCCTTGCAGATAACTACACTTGTTACACCACATGTCAAGGTGAGCACCAAAACACAGGATCCAGTGCCCAAAGCAAACATTACAGGCTGGCCCTGTAGCCAAGGGGTCCATGTGAGATTCCTAAGGTATACATCAAGGGAAACCAATCTAGAAACCTCTAGTGAGCCTAAGGCAATAAGCAATCAGAAAAAATGCACAAAAATTGCTAACAAACCGCTGGGTGGAACAAGTTTGCTACAAAGCCACAGGATTCTATTGTGCAACACTACAATCTTGGTCACCGTGCGGACTAGGAATGCACAGATACCGATATCGGTGCCGATACAATGTATTTTCACTATGTATTTTCACGAGTACTCTTACTCAGAAACCGATACTGTGCAGTGCAATTTGCGTCATAAAATGCACCGCAAAGATTAGCATGCGATTTGTCCAAGTTGCATGCGGTTTTCCCACTGCTCCTTTGTGAACCAAGGTTTGTCATAGCCAAAGTTCACACAGGAGCGCTGCGGAAAACCTCTCTGCAGGGATCCTATGCTGAGTGGAGATGTATACTATGGAGGCAGATGCTCCATATTCTCAGCCGAAGGAGAAGCAGAGAAAATCTCTGCCACTTTCTTTCCTCTCCTTCCAGGGATGACAGTTTGAGCTAGAGGGCATTTAATTGGTCAGTACCATCACATAGACGGTGCTGAAAACAGACAGCCATGGGGATTTCAAATCCTCAGACCTGTGAAGAGGCTCGCTCTCCTCTCAGCGATGACAATACGGGCTAGACAGCATCTAATTGGTCAGCAACATCACATGGATGGTGCTAACCAATCAAAAGCCCTCTAGCCCAAACTGTCATCCCTGCAAGGAAAGGAAAGACAGCAGTGGGGATTTCAAATCCCTCTCGCTTTCTCTCCTCTCCTACCACTGAGAATATGTAGCATCTGCCACCATTGCATACATCCACACTCTCCGCTGCGGGAAACCTCCCTGCACCGCTCTTGTGTGAACTCAGGCTATGACAGCCTGGGTTCAGACAGGAGCAGTAGGGAAACAGCAAGCAATTTGGACAGGAATTACATGCTACTCTTTGCGATGCAATTTGCGTTCATACATTTTGTATTGACACAAAATCGCACCACAAAGTATCGGTAAATCGGTATTGGCGAGTACTTGACCGAAAGTATCGGTACTCATACTCACCGATAAAAAAAACGCTATTGGTGTATCCCTAGTGTGGACCAAATACCAACTTCCTAACAACCAATGAAATTGGTTGATAAGGAAGACATCATACACCTAAGGGCATCTCTGTTTTCCCCTCCTCTGCCCCTCTCCGTCGTTTGCATTATATGACATTACAAAGTTCAGCTTAAACCCTCTCTACCAGCGACGTTTTTGCACACACATTTAGACCTGAAGATTACACAAAACCCCCAAAACATTTTCTGAAAGCAGATACCCTAGAGAATAAAAGAGTGGTTGTTCCATTTGTTTATTTCACACAACAGTACCGCAAAAGGTCTAGGAAACGCAAAATCTCAGTTAAAAAAAAAAACAAAAGACACTAAAGTGAATTTTAGGACAAACGCAATGATATTTTTGTTGTTCATTAATATGTGGATTTTTTTGCACTCTCAATTTCCTTTTTAAGGAATTTGTTATGTTTGTCAAATTCGGGATTTTCTTCAAAGGGTTCCAGCGCTTTAGTGCTTTAATTTCTTTCTGAATTTCAACTAACTGTGCTCTTTCTTCTACAATCAATTTCATCAGGCCTAGGACATGCTTAATACAGTATTCTTTCCATTTATTAACCATTAGCCGCCCCGACCAATGGCCGTTTGGCGGCTTGAAAAGCGCTGCAGCTTTCCGGGTGCACGCCATTTGGCGTGCTCCCGCACATGCGCGGTTTGCGCGGTTGCAGTGCGATCTGTCACCGCCCGTGCACCTCGGACACGGCCGATGACAGATCCGAGTACCGGCTCCCGTTGCCGGTACCATGTGACCTGCTGTGACCAATCACAGCAGGTCACATGACAGTTGTATACAATGGATGGCTTCATTCATGATGCCATCCATTGTATACTAGTGCCTAGCTGTGAATGGTCACAGCTAATCACATGCACATGTCATGTGATTAGCTGTGACCAAATCACAGCTAAAACAAAAAAAAAAAAAAAAAAAAAAAAAAAGCTGAATGAATCGATTTCATTCAGGTAAATGCTTGCTTATAGCAAAGTAATTCTTTGCTATAAGCAAATTGTGTAAAAAAAAAAAAAAAATACTGATCACTTCCCCAAAGTAGTACAGTGTTACTATGGTAACATTGTACTATTTTGGTCATAGTAAAATATGAAAAAAAAATCTTTAAAAAAATAAAAAAAAATGTAATAAAAAAATAAAAAAAAATGTAATAAAAAAATTAAATAAAAAAATAAAAAAAAATTTATAAAAAAAAATATATATTTTTTTTTCCATACTGTCACCAGTCAGTGTCGCTGTTCACCGCCATGCCAGTTATATGATGACGCTGTACTGCACTGGTGACAGTATGTAAAAAAAAATAAATAGTGAAAATAATTTTTTTTAATTTTTTTTTTTCATTTTCCGAAAAATTGACAAAAAAATACAACTTCAAAAAACTTGCCATGCCTCTTATGAAGTACGTCGGACTGTCTACTCTGCAAAAAGGGGTCATTTGGGGGATATCTGTACTGTTCTGACATTCTTGGACCTCAAGATATTAGATTGGCTATTCAGATCTATACCATAGTTTGTGAACTCTATAACTTTCCTACAAACTAAAAAATACATCCTAATTTGGGTTATTTTCACCAAAGACATGTAGCAGAATACATCTCGGCCTAAATTTATGAAGAACAATTATTTATTTGTAAACTTTTATAACAGAAACAAAGAAAAATGTTTTTTTTCAAAATTTTTGGTCTTTTTGTTAATTTAGCAAAAAATAAAAACCCCAGCGGTGCTTAAATACCACCAAAAGAAAGCTCTAGTTGTGTGAAGAAAATGATCAAATTTTAGTTTGGGTACAATGTTGTATGACCGCGCAATTGTCATTCAAAGTGTGAGAGCGCTGAAACCTGGCCTGGGCAGGAAGGTGTAAAATTGCACGGTATTGAAACGGTTAAGAAATCTAGGGGTATGTAAATGCTCTGCAGGGATAACTTTTTCTCTTAACCCTCTCTGTATAACCTGCTGTTTAATAGATGACTCAAGGGACAAAATGTCCCATTTTCTATTCATAAATGTAATAGTTAACTTTTTATGAGGTTTAAAAAGCTTTTGAAATTTGGTCATTACCACCGGGGTCAGATTGAGCTCCCTGGTGAAATGCTGCCCAAATTTCGGAGTCAATCTCTTCCCCTAGTTTATACACCATTGAGTACACAAACCTTGAAGGCAACATGCATCAGATACAGAAGGTAAAGTAACCGATCGGTGAATGCGCAGTCAGGTATTTAATAGAAAATCATATAAGAGGCCCGGAAACCTAAGAAAGAAGATCATTGAACCCAGAAAAAATATCCAACCAATACAAAGGCTAAAAGAGGTACACCAGGGGCCAAGGCATCCAATATACAGGGAATTAAAAATAGGAATGACCTTGTATACATATCTGCTACCAATTGATTGCTGACTCACCCAAGGATTAATAAAAAATAGATGGGTGTGGTCACCGAAACTAATAATCTATAGACCTATGCATAGGGGTAAGGGTTCCCCCAAAAGATAGTTTCATACGGGACCATGCAGCTTTATCAAAGAAGAGCTTTATTAGAAAAAACAAAATGTGCTTAGCACAAATAAAAACACAGGAGTTGAGCATAGCACCACTATCACTTTACCAATTTAAAAAGACAAGTTCTCTTTACTGAGACATGCAGGGTCTCCTCTGGTTCCAGTTTAAAAAAAAAAAAAAAAAAAAAAAATAGATAAATAACAAACGTGATACTTACCTGCTCTGTGCAATGGTCTTCTCTTCTCAGGTCCCCAGCCAGTGCTCCTGGGGCACTCATGCATGCTTGCTCCTTAGCCCTGCTTTGTGGGTCCATAAGACACACAGAGTGCTGCTCAGCCCCGCCCTCCTGCTTGTTCCTCCCTGGCTGTGATTGACAGCCAATGGCACAAACTGCAGTAAAAAACCTGCAGCATTTACAACCACTTTAATCTAGTCAAGTGAAAGTAAAGGAAAAAATAACAAAAGAAAACTAATGAGACCATCCCCATCTAACGATTGGTAAATTGCCATATGTTTTTTTTAGGGTTTAAAGACACTTTAGGAGTATGTAAATTTCCAACAATTAAATCCTCTTTTTTGTGCTAAATATACCACTGAAATGGTTTTGTTACATGCATTTAAGTGCAAAACACAAAAAAATTAAATACAAAAAATAAAATAAATCTGTTAATCCAGCCAGAAACTCTGTGAGCTATTAACTTTCTGTAATTTGCTCACAATGCTGCACTGAAAATCTCAAGCAAAATAATCTCTGCCCAATATCTTTCTGTGAGCTATAAAAACACACACCTCCATGTAAAGGAAATAAGGAGAGGTGTTGTAAAGTGCCAATACTTCCTTCTTAAGGCGATTACGTTGCTATTCCATATATGCAATACAGTGAGTGTTGTCATCCTAGGACAGGAAGTGTGTGACTGTAGGATCACTAGGTGATACTAAAGGAAACGTAGGCTAGAAAAAAAAAAAAAAAAAAAAAACCAAATACAGCTACCACAATGAGGATTGGTATGCTGCAGTGCCTGGTTTGTTCTTGGGTCCAGATACACTTTAAATTACGGTTTACATCATGATACTGCTCTGCTGCAGCATTTACAGCAGTGTCAGTAAAGGGTTAGAAAAAAAAAGCTCCACTTGAAGTTTACTTACAGGGTAGCAACGCTCTGTCACCAGAGAATGTAACTTGTGACGATCAAACCTAGAACAGTAGAAAAAAAAAAGTTTTACCACAAAAATGTTGGAAAAGTTGAAGCTCTTTTTGTTTGTTTTTAAAAACGCTACTACACCATAAACTGTAACCAAAATCTTATTTATCTTCCACTTTGTTAGAGTGGGAATAGAAAGTAGTGGCAGTGGGCATTAAAGTAGAACTGCAGCCAGGCTATTGGCATTCAATCATTTAACATCTTGCTGACCATCAAACCTGTGCGTCAATCAATCCTCTTTAAGCTCAAAAACATATGTTAGAACATGGTGCATGAGCACCAAAAAACAGTTGTATAGAAAACACCAAATAGACACAATTAAAAGAAAAATAAATCCCCAGCTGACCATCAAACCCATATAGGGCAAATAGTGCAAAATCAAATGAAATAGAACAATCTAACATTAGTACTGGTATGTTCAAAAGAAATACTGCCCTATTGGTAAAGTCCTTAATCTACGTGATCTGTGATGCTACGAGTCGGATGGAAGAGTGCTGATGCTACGTCCGGTGTGCTGCTGGAAGACGCCATTTTTACCTCTCTGTGTTTACATGCTGTATCTGGGCTATGTGAGCCTGCAATCCTTGAGTGTGATTTTACATTTTCTATTTTACTTCATTAAAACAAGTTTTCACCCTGCTTTTTATCCTTTGAGCAACTCCGATACAAAACTGTTGCGTTGACCCTCTGGAAGCTACCCTTTTTGCATTTCTACCGGATGCTGCAGGAACAGTTGAAGTAACCGTGGATATCATACACAGTGCTGTTTTTGACCTCTAACATAGGTCAAAAAAAGGACATGCTTGGTGGTGCATGAGCACCACAGTGGAAAGATTGTTTTGAAGAGACATTTCACTTGGGGACTGAAAATTGCTAGTCATTCACTATATGGATTAATATTTTTCACTTTTGCACCATCTACTCACATTTGAGCTATGTTTATTTTTTATCTTGAATGTGTTTGATTGTCAGCTAGGTGTTCATTGTATTTTTTATGCACGTAGATTAGGGACTTTACCAATAGGGAGGTATTTTTCTTTTGAACATACCAGTACTATACCCTGTTCCAAAATATTCTGCAAATTCTATTTATGTGTCACAAAGATTAAATATTTTGTTTTTCAATTTAACTCAGCAAGGCAGTGGTGGAGTCATGTTTTGGGCCGGAATCATGGGAACAGAGCTGGTTGGCCCCTTTAGGGTCCCCGAAGGTGTAAAGATGACCTCTGCAAAGTATGTGGAGTTTATGACTGACCACTTTCTTCTCTGGTACAGAAGGAAGAACTATGCTTTCCGTAATAAAATCATCTTCACGCATGACAATGCACCATCTCATGCTGCACCTCTGCATCAATGGCTGCTATGGGGATAAAAGGAGAGAGTCATGGTGTGGCCTCGATCCTCCTCTGACCTCAATCCTATTGAGAACCTTTGGAGCATCCTCAAGCAAAAGATCTATGAGGGTGGGAGGCAGTTTACATCCAAACAGCAACTCTGGGAGGCTATTCTGACATCTTGCAAACAAATTCAAGCAGAAACTGTCCAAAGACTCACAAGTTCAATGGATGCAAGACTTGTGAAGCTGCTATCAAATAAGGGGTCCTATGTTAAAATGTAACGTGACCTGTTAAAATGTTTAAAAAGTTAAAATGTTAAAAGTTTGATTGAAATAGCTTTTGATTTCAGTAAATATGCTGCAAACACAACAAATGACAATTTTCAGTTCTTTACAACGTGTAAAAATGTTTTGAAACTTACTGTGCGTAATAATTTGGAACAGTGCATTGTACATTTTTGTGTTTAAAAAAAAATACTGTTATTAGGAGGTTTGTTCAATAAAATGTGAATTGTACTCTTAATAGTTGATAACATGAGAATTATGCTGAGTGTTACTTACATCATTTAGGTAAATGAGAAAAATATAATTTGCATAATAATTTGGAACAGGATGTACTGTTAGATGATTCTATTTCATTTGATTTTGCACTATTTACCCTGTATGGGTTTGACGGTCAGCCGGGTGTTTATTTTTTATTCTGTGTGTCTATTTAGTGTTTTCTATACAGCTGTAATTTGGTGCTCATGCACGATGTTCTAATATATATTTGTGCGTTTAAAGAGGATTGATTGACGCACGGGTTTCATGGTCAGCAGGGTGTTTTTTTTTTTTTTTTTTTTTTTTCTTTTATTGGCTTTTGTTAATGTTAATATAAATATAATCAACTCAAAACAACCTGATGCTGGGGTCTCCTGCTGTAATCTGTTTATTAAGGTATTATGTGTCTACTGTTGTGTCCATCTCCCATTGGTAAATCGAGTTATCTGAGTCACCAATTGTTTGTCTGTTGGATAAATCTCCTGAAGGTTCCTACATCATGGGATTAGTCTTGTGTCAACTTTTCCTCGTTACCCAATCATTATGGGATGTTTATCCCAATGTGTAATATTTGTTTTTATTAGACTGCCCCTATTTTTGAAGTGTGTAAAAACTTCTATTTCTGTTCATTAAAGTATTTCCTGTTCGTACCTAATCTAGTGTCACCAAATTCTTAAGTGCAATTCCCAGCTATAATACCTTGTTCCTGTGAGTCAGCGGCGAAGCAGGTCGAGGTGCCAGGCAGTCCGTCACAGTTATGAGCTACAGGTGGCAGATTAGACATATTCCATTTGATAAAGAGAAACGGCATGAAATATATATCATGTTTCAGCTCTATCAAATGGTAATTTCATTTTGTGCAATATGTTGATAACTAATGTGTACACATATGAAAATATAGATGCATTTAGAAATCTGGCCTGGAGGGACGGTCTTCTGAAAATATAAATGGTTTAGCTCTCTCTTTTTCCCACTCCTCGGACATTCGGATTGGCTGTGTCATCTCCGTACACACCCTCTACAGGCTCCACAAAAGCTGCTGCAATATATGGCTCTGGCGCTCTCAATTTTCCATCAAAACAATGCTCACATGCCGAGTCATTCTAATGGTCAGTGACTGTCAGACCAGAATTACGTTGAAGGAATGGGAACAGAGCACAGAAACCTCATTAAGTACATTTCAGCTTGTATATTTTACTGACATGTTGTATTACATTTTTGCAATATCTTCTAATGTAAATATTTTTCTTTTCATCTTTTTCATTATATATGTCACTTAATATACACACACACACACGCTGAACTCCTGGGTGACAGGAGGGGAAGAGGGGGGGATGTTAATGGAAGGATCCACAAATCATAACGCATTATTGCTAAAGAAAACAACTTCTCACTGAGTCAGGTGATTGTGCGCAGCAATGAAGATTTCCTGAGCATTCTCTGCAAAGGTCTTGGTACTAAAACCCTCTTCGTAGTTTTTTACTCTTCGAATCCTGGGGGAAAAAAAATACAAACTTAGATTTAGAAAGTCATGGAATATTCAGATAAATATACAGTACATGATTGCCAGCATAGGGCCCTTAAATTTGTTTACATGTCTGTGCTTTTGTCAGCTTGAATGGAATACCTGCATTGTAGTAAAAAAAAATAGCTTGCCTATTCCAACCCATTAAAAATATGAAAAAAAATCCATAACATTCTACCACCATAAAGCTGCCTAGAGTCATTACAGAATGTTTACCCAATCTTGTTCTGTTTGGATCAGGGAACATTCATTTGTCTAAGTCTCCTCAAGGAGGAAAGCAAGAATGAGGGCCATTTTACACAGTGCATTGGCCAGCATTTATTCACACTGGAAGCATGCCTCTTTCCTATTTTTTTTCCCGAGATATGGCAGGGTTATCTCTAGAGGACTACTCCTCCCTTTTGCAGTGAATCATGCATTCTGGGTCCAAGACAAATAGACGCGCTTTCAGAATTGTTTTGGCTTATACAGTGGGGCAAAAAAGTATTTAGTCAGCCACCAATTGTGCAAGTTCTCCCACTTAAAAAGATGAGAGAGGCCTGTAATTGGCATCATAGGTAGACCTCAACTATGAGAGACAAAATGAGAAAAAAAATCCAGACAATCACATTGGCTGATTTGGAAAGAATTTATTTTGCAAATTATGGTGGAAAATAAGTATTTGGTCACCTACAAACAAGCAAGATTTATGGCTCTCACAGACCTGTCCCTTCTTCTTTAAGAGGCTCCTCTGTCCTGCACTCATTACCTGTATCAATGGCACCTGTTTGAACTTGTTATCAGTATAAAAGACACCTGTCCACAACCTCAAACAATCACACTCCAAACTCCACTATGGTGAAGACCAAAGAGCTGTCGAAGGTCACCAGAAACAAAATTGTAGACCTGCACCAGGCTGGGAAGACTGAATCTGCAATAGGCAAGCAGCTTGGTGTGAACAAATCAACTGTGGGAGCAATAATTAGAAAATAGAAGACATACAAGACCACTGATAATCTCCCTCGATCTGGGGCTCCACGCAAGATCTCACCCCCTTGGGTCAAAATGATCACAAGAACGGTGAGCAAAAATCCCAGGACCACACGGGGGGACCTAGTGAATGACCTACAGATAGCTGGGAACAACGTAACAAAAGCTACCGTCAGTAACACACTACGCCGCCAGGGACTCAGATCCTGCAGTGCCAGACATGTCCCCCTGCTTAAGCCAGTACATGTCCGGGCCTGTCTGAAGTTTGCTAGAGAGCATTTGGATGATCCAGAAGAGGATTGGGAGAATATCATATGGTCAGATGAAACCAAAATAGAACTGTTTGGTAGAAACACAACTCGTCGTGTTTGGAGGAGAGAGAATGCTGAGTTGCATCCAAAGAACACCATACCTACTGTGAAGCATGGGGGTGGCAACATCATGCTTTGGGGCCGTTTCTCCACAAAGGGACCAGGACGACTGATCCATGTACAGGACAGAATGAATGGGGCCATGTATCGTGCGATTTTGAGTGCAAACCTCCTTCCATCAGCAAGGGCATTGAAGATGAAATGTGGCTGGGTCTTCCAACATGACAATGATCCCAAACATACCGCCCGGGCAACGAAGGAGTGGCTTCGTAAGAAGCATTTCAAGGTCCTGGAGTGGCCCAGCCAGTCTCCAGATCTTAACCCCATAGAAAACCTTTGGAGGTAGTTGAAAGTCCGTGTTGCCCAGCGACAGCCCCAAAACATCACTGCTCTAGAGGAGATCTGCATGGAGGAATGGGCCAACATACTGGCAACAGTGTGTGCCAACCTTGTGAAGGCTTACAGGAAACATTTGACCTCTGTCATTGCCAACAAAGGATATATAACAAGGTATTGAGATGAACTTTTGATATTGACCAAATACTTATTTTCCACCATAATTTGCAAATAAATTCTTTCCAAATCAGCCAATGTGATTGTCTGGATTTTTTTTCTCATTTTGTCTCTCATAGTTGAGGTCTACCTATGATGCCAATTACTGGCCTCTCTCATCTTTTTAAGTGGGAGAACTTGCAAAATTGGTGGCTAACTAAATACTTTTTTGCCCCACTGTACATGCACAATTGTCTGCAGACACCATAACAGGGAAACATAAAAGCACATATCAACACTGTCCAAATGTGGGTCATCTCTTTCCTCTCTTAGGTTCCAAATAGGATCAACTACATTAGTTACATTCCCTTAGCATTTGAGGCAGAAGGTATTTTGCAAGCCAACAGCTTTCATTTATTTAGACAGCAAACATACACGGTCAAATACAGTGGACACTGGTCAAGAGAGAGCACCTGCTTATGCAGAATTCACAAATCTCAATTTTGAAATGATTAAAGAGTTTGTAGAGGTACATTTTTTCTAAAATAAAAAACATGTTATACTTACCTGCTCTGTGCACAGAGCAGTTCTGAACCTCCTCTGCTGGGGTCCCCTGCCAGCGCTCCAAAAGCTCCTCCTCTTCTTGGTGTGCCACCACAGGAAGATGCTTCAAGGGCAGTAAGTCAGGCCATCATAAAGTTATATTATATGCAGATGATTATCTTTCCCTAGTCTCAAACCCTGAAGATACCCTACTAAGCTTATCTCTTTTCCATAACTATGGTACTCTATTCAACTATCAGATAAATTTATTTTAAATCCGAAGCCCTTAATAGTTCCTTAGCAGCTGATAGGGTCACTAGGCTGAGACAATCCTTTCCCTTTTCCCGAGCCTCTTGCAATCCTAAACACTTGGGTGTTCAGATTAGCCCCAACCTGACATGGTTTGGGAGGTGCACTGCTTTTAAGATAAGTTTACCATCTGGAGCTCTTCCTCATTTTTTTTGAACATTTCCGTTCCCTACTTCTCAAAACGATATGGGGGAGAAAAAAACCTCACACAGTGCTCAGCCTAAATTAGCACACCCCAACAGATTGGTCAGGAAACACTTACTTTTCTTTCAGAATCCACATTTTCTATGGGTCACTACACTATAAAATACTCCCACAAATGCACGCCATTAATTGCAAACAAGATTTGTTAATTTGCACACACAAAAAAGTATTTTTCCTAACCAATGCATTCTAGACCACGTTGCAAAAATGAAGACACCCAATGAAAGTCTTGGGAGCAAAACTAAAATTTTAGTCAACAAAATCCCAATTAACAAGAATTCAACTACAGGCGAGTCTAGTTATTCATTAAACAGGTATCCAGCAGACAGTTGATTATAAAAGGGCATTACTTAACTGCTTAAGGACCGCCCACAGTACATCCACTGCTACAGGGTGGCCCCGGTGCGCAGGATCAGGTGTACACACACACCACACACACACACACACACACACACACACCGTGCTCCCGCGGCCGACCCGTGGGCGCCGTGATTTGATCCCGGAGGGATCAATCATCTGATTTAGGCCACTGATGTCCGGCCCAAGTCAGATGATTGATTCCTGTCCGGTGTTGACAGTTACAGGAAGTGATGACATCTCTCTCTGGACACATTCCATCCCAGAGAGAGAAGAATCAACACAAATGTGAGTAAAAGCACTACAATTACACAGTTAAAAACACTCTAAGACACATTTAACCCCTTGATCGCCCCCCCCCCCCCCCAGTTAACCCCTTCACTGCCCTGTTACCAGTTTCATTAGTACAGTGTACAGATATTTTTGATCACTGTATTAGTGTTGCTGGCGACTTAAAATAGTGTCAGATTGACCGTCAGTACATCAGTAAATCATATTTAACCCCTTGATTGCCAGGAACACGCTCTCATACACAAACCTCCATTGCTAGTATAGTGTCTGAACGGAACAATATCTTTGATCATATCAGAACTATACCAGCATTCACATTAGTATAGTGTCCCCCAAAAAGGCAGCCTTAGCAGGATCAGCCCTGACACCTGAGTTTAGCCCTATGCTTACCCCCCTCCCCCTTCTCCCCCAGCAAGTACAGCGTCAGTAGGTCACTGTCACTTGATACACTGCACACACAACTGCAGTGTTCACAGAATCAGGCCTGATCTCCGTTATCACTTGCCGGTAAATTTTTGTAGCGGTTCAAGCAGTCCCTAACAGCCAGGTGCTCTCTTTTTCCCATGAGTCGCACTAGGTACTTGTACCTTTCTTTGGACAGTTTGGCCACTAAATTTATACTAGTGAAGAGGCCTATAGGATTCTGAGCATGTCAAGTGAGAGCGAAAGGGAAGACTCACTGTCAGAATGCGAACCTGTAGACAGCAGCGGTACCCTTAGAGATAGCTCAGACGATGGAGAAGAGGTCCCTGCTAAGATCAGGCGTACTCAACCCCATTCCCAGGTTGCTGAGATGTTACAAACGCATGACGACTCTCATATGCAGCAGAGTGCCAGTACTAGTGCCACTCTACCTTTTGGTGAACTGGCGAGCATCAGTGGTCTAGTATATCCTGGTCTTTTTCATACCAGCACTAAAGTATTACTTGGATATGTGGAGCGTCCCATAAGTGCAGTACAAGCTGATGCGGTAGCAAGCACAAGTAGTGTCCCCAGCCACCAAGAATTCGCACACAGGCCCGTAGAGCCCAGTGTCCTCCTGGTCATGATTGCAAATCCTGATTGGCAGCCCACAAATTCTGCAGCACCCATACTTCCCCCATTCACTGCCCAACCAGTAATTCAGGTGAAAACAGCTAATTTAAATACTCCCCTTGATTTTTTTGGAGCGGTTTTTCACGGAAGATCTGTATGCATTGATTGTGGATCAAGGCAATTTATATGTACAACAGTTTATCGCCGCAAACCCAAATTCATACCTTGCCAGACCATTCACATGGAAACCCATTGTTCTGCCCTCACTACACATGACTAAGGTATAATTAGACAGACCGCTAACTCTCCTCCCTTAACAACCCATTGATGCAGGCACTAGGTCCTCTTTTCAACTTTTATTGCAGGGGGGTTAGAGTAAAACTACAAGAAGAAATAA